TATACAGCATTTATCTGCTTCTTCCCTCTCCCGCTAAAGGGCTCTGTACCATAGCTTACTAGTTTAACTATAAGTAGTCATCAACTTACAACCACAATTGACCCAAAAATTTCTGCTGCTAAGTGAAACATTTCGTAAATGAGTTTTGCCCCATTTTACGACTTTTCTTGCTACTGTGTAAAAACTTCAGTGGATAGCATAGTAACACAGTTGTTAAGAGAATCTGGCTTCTCCATTGACTTTGATTGTCAGAAGATCATAAAAGATGAGCCCAGGATGCTGCAACCGTCATGTATATGAGTCAGTTGCCAAGTGTCTGAATTTTGATCATGAGACCTTAGGGATGCTACAAAGGTTGTAAATGTGAAAAGTCACTTTTTTCAGTGCCATTGTAACTTCAAACGGTCACTAAAGAACTGTTGTAAGTTGAGGACTACCTATATTATATTTCTTCTGGCTACTTTTTCTGCCAGTTCGCTCAGGGACGTGATTCGGGGGGGGGGGGCGCACCTTGATGCACACTACACATGCATGTGCAGAAGCAAAAACACTGATAGAACTGGTTTGGGCACATGCACGGCTGAATTACTACCTACATGGCCATACTGGTCCGAACCGGTAGGAACCCACCTCTGGATATATCTGTGTGTGTGTGTGTGTGTGTGTGTGTGTGTGTGTGTGTGCGTGCACGCGCGCGCGTGCACACACACACACACATATCAGTGGTGGGATTTACTACCAGTTCTGTGAGCGTGGCTTGGTGGACGTGTCATGGCTTGGGGGAATGAATTGGTGGGTGTGGCAGGGGAAGGATACTGTAAAATCTTCATTCCCACCTGACTCCAGGGGAAGGTTACTGCAAAATCCGCATTTGCTGGGACTCCTCAGCTGGGACTCGGGAGGCAGAGGTGGTATTTACTGGTTCTTCGAACTATTCTCCGCTACCAGTTCTCCAGAACTGGTCAAAACCTGCTGAATACCACCTCTGTTACACACACACACACACATATTTATATACATATACACATACATACATACACACATACCTACACACATACATACATACATGCATGCATATTGAAAGCATAACAAAGCTATATCTGGACAAGACCAAATATCCCCCGAAAATAACTGAATCAAAATGTAAATGAGACCCATCAAAGGTTATTGGCAAACCCAACAGGCCAGGAAGTAGCCATTCTCTTTATATGCAGTCCTGCACCTCAGACAGAGTATTCGGAACTAATGCAGGCTTAGAAATGTATGAAAAACAAGCAAGGAAAAGCAAACGTTTCCCATCTGGGGAAAGGCAGATTGGAAGCCTTACCTTGTTTCCCATTTCTAAGAACATTTTGGCTAAATGAGTTCTCCCAGGTTGGAATTATAGAGTGCGGAGCCTCAATAATCAACCTGAGAAAGGGAAATAACCCATTTTTGTTTGTTTGTTCATTAACTACCCCAGGAGAAATTGTTGCTGTTCACTAATGGTGTACAATCCAGTGTTGGTGGCTGTTCTAAATTTCATTCTACATAATCATTAAATAAGCAACAAATGTGGAATTTGGGGGGATATATTACATTTTCACTGGTATATAACGTCATACTGTTGAAAGTGTAAATCTCTCCAGTAGAAAAGAGCAACCTATATGTTAATATTCTATAATCAGAAAAATATGTCATACCAAAATAGATTGTATCAAAGGGTTCTTAGACCCCCCCCCTTTTCCCACAGCAATGTTTAAATCAGAGGGTTGGGATTATGTTACTAATCACAATTCTCAAAGCTTCTATAGAAGATGTAGTTTAAAGCACTTTAAATGCATTTTATGCATCTCCTCCACCACAAAGTGGGTTCATCCCTATCATCATTATAATAGAGAACTGACATTTTTTTTCAAAGCATCTCAATCTTTTGAACTCAGAATTCAGAGATTCGGATCTTTATTTCAAGGACTTACTAAAACCAAAGAGCTCTCCCTGGATAAACTGAGTCATGGCTTGGTGCCCCCTTTAAAAACTAAAGTGAAACATTTCTTTGATTTAAAAAAGATGCAAGCTTTAAAAAGCCTCTGAGAGTCTTCTCGTGTTCTTAAAAAGTCCAAATCAGAGAATAATTTCCAGTTAATGTACTCACTTTCCAATAACGTCTCCCCACTCGGTTCCCTAGGGCCTCGATTTTCAGATTTTGAAGATAGTGAAATTCACTTCAAAATTATATGGTAGCAATAGCACTTAGACTTATGCGCCGCTTCATAGTTCTTTTACAGCTTTCTATAAGTGGTTTACAGAATCAGCATATTGCCCTCAACAATCTGGATCCTCGTTTTTCTTACCTCGGAAGGATGGAAGGATGAGTCAACCTTGAGCCAGTCAGAATTGAACCCCTGGCAGTCAGCAGAATTAGCCTGATTCAGCATTTCAACCACTGCGGTACCATGGGAGTGGGAGCGGGAGGCACAAACTGACTACAAGCAATGGCATGACAAAGTAGCAACAATGATGCATTGGAAGATGTGCAAGAAATATCATTTGCCTGTAAGCAAGAACTGGTGGGACCCTAAAATAGAAAAAGTCATAGAAAATGAAGAAGTTAAATTGCTCCGAGACTTCAAAATCCAGACAGACAGGCACCTGCCATATAACACCCCGGACTTAACAGTTGTTGATTAGAAAGACAAAAAAGTCTGGATAGTGGATGTGGCAGTCCCTGAAGACAGCAGAATACAAGAGAAGGAACTGGACAAGATAATAACATACAAAAACCTATAAATAAAAATAAAATGACTGTGGCAAAGGCAGACAAGGATAGGACCAATAGTAATAGGCGCCTTGGGTGCAATCCAAAAACAACTGGAGCACCATTTGAACACCATTGGCGTTGACAAATTTGCCATCAGTCAATTGCAGAAGGTGGCTTTACTTGGAACAGCTTCCATCCCACAACGATATCTGTAATAGTGTCAAACATCCAGATTTGTCTTTCCCAGGTCCTTGGTAGGGACTCAATAGGTTAGACAAAAATGCCAAACCCATTCTGAACATCTAGGTTTATTCATCTGTGTGAGGGTTAGGGTTGGGGTTGGGGTTGGGGTTGGGGTTGGGGTTGGGGTTAGGGTTAGGGTTAACCCTAACCCTAACCCTAACCCTACTCAAAATTGTCTATGTACTCAGATGTTACCTTAACAGCTTTTAAGTTTTTATCAGTCTATTAAATTTTAACAATGATAATAGTAATAACAACAATAATGATAATGATAATAATTAATGATGATAACATAATAACTCAGACCATCATACATTTTAAGAAGATACTTGGTTGATCCCTTCAATGCTAGCTGCAACCCATATCAAGCATCAGTGCCTGTCAATAATATTTGTGATACATTTGTAAATGTTCAGTTGACTGAGTTTCATGTTTAATGAATAAAAGTATAATAATAATATAAAATAATAACAACATTAATTCAACTCAACAAAAGAGTACATTTGATGTGCTTCAGCAAGTGGAAACATTAAATACTATGGAGCCTGATTAGTATTGAATTGTAATCTGTCCAGAATCTGTTGGAAATCAGGCAGTCTCAAAACAGACTAAATAAATAAATACCCTAGATCTGGAGGAAAGGACCATTAGGTAATACCAGAAATGTTAGCTAGGCTTGGAAGTAATCAACAACGATAGTATCCTGGAAGAGAGTAAAGATAAATTAATTGTATGATGCAAGAACATTGCATCATATCCAGGATCATCTCTATTGGTCTCAAGGTCATCACTATTTTTTTATATCTTACAGTCCTTTAATTATTCTCCAGATTTAATTGACATCAGGATCTTCTGTAATTATTCTTGTGCAGATGGTCAGATTAATGTAACATGTACTTTAATCATCACATGGGCACAGAAAGTAAGCCAAGCTATTTCGGACTTCATAAAATTAGTTGTCCTGCTTTCTCAGCTAGTTTGATTTGGAAAATTCAGTTTGGGTCATAAAATTGAAAAATGTTAATTACCTGTTCAAGCCTATGATATATTGAATCATAGCAGTTGTCATTATTTATTGTATTATTTTTAGTTTCATTTATATATCATCTTTTTTCTGGGAGTTTAAAAGATCCAGTTTGATCTAGTGGTGGAAGCACCAGGCTAAAACCTGGGAAACCATGAGTTTCAGTCCTGCCTTAGGCATAAACAATGGCTGGGTGACTTTGAGCCAGTCCAGAGGTGGTATTCAGCCAGTTCTGACCGGTTCTGGCAAACCGGTAGCGGAAATTTTGAGTGGTTCAGAGAACTGGCAAATACTACCTCTGCTGGCCCTACCCCCATCTGTTCACTGCCTCCAAGAGTCCCAGCTGATCAGAGTCTCAGATGACGGCTGGGTCTTCTTCTGTTGCCCTGCATAGGGGAACGGAGCTGGAAAGCAGTTTAGTGGGGTGGGGAGGGAATGGGGATTTTACAGTATCCTTGCCCTGAAATGGGGATTTTGAAGTATCCTTCTGCTGCCATGCCCTGCCCACCAAACCAACCATAGAACTAGAAGTAATGAAAAAAAATTGAATCCCACCACTGAGTCAGTCCCCCTCTCTCAGCCCAACACAACACACAGGGTTGTTGTGAGGAAAATAGGAGGAAGGAGTGTTAGATATGTTCACTGCCTTGAGTTATTTATAAAAATAATAAAGGAGGGGGATTATAAATAAATGAACAAATAAACATAAAAGCAGTGGATTCAGGAAGTACATGATCCCAAGTCACCTCGGGAGTTTCTGACATGGCAAATGGGATTGAACTTGGGTCTTCCAACTCCTAGTTCAACATTTGGATTATGACACCACATTGGCTTTCTGTATGTTTCAATTGATTACTCTCTGTTTCTTCTGTGTGTGCTTGGAATCATTCCTGACAAGAGCCTATATTATTATTATTATTATTTAAAAGCACATGTTTACAGCATAGATGCATTTCTGAAAAATTGAATGTAAGTTTTTTTTTTCTTCCACAGGTTGAAGCAATTTTAGTAAATATATTTGGTGGAATTGTTAACTGTGCCATTATTGCCAACGGTATCACCAAAGCTTGCCGAGAGCTTGAACTGAAAGTGCCTCTAGTGGTCCGACTTGAAGGTAGGTGGTGGGATCCAAACTTTGTTGGGTATCATTTGATCTGTTCTCTGATGGTTGATGCTGGAGCTAATTTTCTAGAACATAGAATATCAGAATTGGAAGGGACCTTGGAGGTCTTCCAGTCCAACTCCCTGCTCAAGCAGGGAACCCTATATAACATTTCAGTTCATGTGAAACTGGAATGAGATGGTTTGCTTCAGGGTAACAAATGCTGAAAGATGTGCAACAGAGAGCAGCCCACTTGCCATTTTTTTTGGTTGAAGGAGACTTAGACTCAACATTCTAGGTTGAGTGGACTTTAGCTAATAGCCTAAAATTATAGTCCTTAGATATAATGAAAGATGCTGCCTGTCACTTATCTTCAATTCCCATACACCTACCGCTCTATCCGTCTCTAGAAATGGTATGGATATAACCAGTGGTGGGATTCAAAATTGTTCATTACTAGTTCTGTGGGCGTGGCTTGGTGGGGTTTGACATGGTTCGGTGGGCGTGGCAGAGGAAGGATACTGTAAAATCTCCATTCCCACCACACTCCAGGGGAAGGTTACTGCAAAATCCCCATTTCCTCCCGATCAGCTGGGGCTCAGGAGGCAGAGAATAGATGGGGATGGGGCCAGTCAGAGGTGGTATTTACCGGTTCTCTGAACTACTCATAATTTCTCCAGAACTGGTCAGTACCTGCTGAATACCACATCTGGATAGAACACGAAATCAGCTGTAGACTTTTCTTTGGCAGAAAACTGTGTTTAATCAACCTATTGCAGCATTTCAGCCCATTCATGCCTTCTCGTAGCTTTAAACCTGCTTTCTTCAACAGGCATATCAGGATTGCAAATCCTAGAACTTCTGGCCATCTGGAGGCTACCAAGTTATGGTGGTAGGATGCTTTAATCCCATCATGTTCTAGGTTTGGAGGGAGTCAGATCACCTGCAAAGCAACATCTCTGATCTCTCAATCAAATATTATGGTTGTTACAACACAGTTCTTATGGAAATTATCTTTATTATTTTGACATATTACTCTAGAATCTAGGATGCACCCCTGCCCACAAACTTCATAACCATTTAGCCAAGATAATACTGATGATGATTCTAGTCTTCCTTATAAAAAGTCCACACTATTTCTATAATCTCTAGTTCCCCATACTATAATTTCTGGTTTTCCATACTTGTCTATTCATTAAATAAATCTCACATGATTTGAGATAAAAATTAACAATAATTCATAACGATGAGAACTCCAAGATACTGTAAAATGAAGCTGAAAGAATACAGCATGGAACAACCCATTCTTTTTTATGCATTTCTACGACAGAGGGTTGATAATTATTCCTATAAATCTTTAGCAGATTTGTGGCTGGACTTTAAAAAATTCTTTGCTCTTCTACTGCAGTACATTGCAGATGTCTTGATGAGTAAAGTTTTAATCAGTCAACTCTGTCTTGATTTAGCAGGATTTTCTGGACAAATCTTTGTTCCCAGCTATGTAATAATTACAAGCTGTTTTACCAGTGGATAAAGAAAGGATTAGTCTCTCGTTCAAAAATAGTAACTTTATACTTACAGGTATTTGCTTAATATAAAAGAAAGAAAGAATGAGTGCTCCCCAACTGAGAAGTACAATTTTTTTATGTGCCCAAAGTGATTAAAAGAATCATGTCCTCTGCATTTAATGGATGAAGTAATTGTTCCTGCTGGGAAGTACTCCTCTGTTTCAAGAGATTTTTATAACTAATTGTTGAAAGGATGGATTAAAATTAGGTAATTACTGCCCAAACAACCTATAGCTGTGATGGCAAACCTATGGCACGTGTGCCAAAGGTGGCATGCAGAGCCTTCTCTGTGGACACACACGCCATCGCCAGCTGCTCTTCCGGGTTCGGAGGAAGCTCGGCTCAAGCTGCAGTGCTCCAAGACTGCAAGCTGCTGCGCCATTACTCAGGAGGTTGCTTTCTTCACCGGCCCTGCTCGAGAAGGGCGAAGACCGCTGGGTCCTTTTGAGAGCCCCAGCAATGCCCAGCTTCCTGCCACTGCATGAGATACAAAGACAAACGGGCTGCTTTTTCCTCCGAGCACTGTTGAGGCCGCTCATTGGCGGTCATGTGGCAGGCGACAAATTGTGGCTCCACTAAGCACTGCCAGGGAGAAAGCACACAGCCCCTGCTTGGTGCCACCGGGCTGCGCTTTCGGCCTACAAGGCATGGTCAGGAGGAAGAGGCACTGCCGCCGCCCCCTAAGAACAGCTGGCAGGGTTGGGAACCAGCCAAGTGGGAAAAGCCAGCTTGCAGTCGCCAAGAGGAGCTGGCAGTGCAGGCAAAGCGTGCTCCAAGGGCAGCATGCCAGCAACAGCAGGCTGGATGACTCGACGCTTTTGCAGCGTCGGTCTGGACGCTGCCCAGAGCATGAGTCTGGCAGGAGGAGCCGCCGCTGCTTCTGCAAAGGCAGGCCATTCATGCTGGCAAAGGTTGGTCCAAAATGGGGGGGGTGCCTGGGGGGGGGCACATGCATGCCCAGGGGACCACACATTGCATTATGGGTGCTGGCATGCAGGAGTGCTAGCGTGTGCACGCATGTACTTTTGGCACACAACAACAAAAAGGTTAGCCGATACTGATCTAGACTCTTTAAAAACATCCAGTGATGGAGCGCCCACGATTTCTGAAGGCAAGCTGTTCCACTGGTTAATTGTCCTCACTTTAGGAAGTTTCTCCTTAATTCCAGGTTGCTTCTCTCCTTGATTAGTCTCCATCCATGTGTCTTGTCCTGCCCTCGGGTGCTTTGGAGAATCATTTGACCCCCTCTTCTTTATGGCAGCCCCTCAAGTCCTGGAATACTGCTATCATATCCCCCCCAATTCTTCTTTTCTTTAGACTAGCCAAACCCAAATCCTGCAGCCATTCTTCATATGTTTTATTTTCCAGGCCTATCATCATCTTGGTTGTTCTTCTCTGAACTTTTTCCAAGGTCTCAGCATCTTTTTTGTAGTATGGTGACCAAAATTGCTGCAGTATTCCAGGTGTGGTCTTCCCAGGGTTTTGTAAAGCGGCAGTAATATTTCACAAGATCTTGATGTATTGGTTTAACATATACATCTGATAAACACATGCTGATTTATGAGTTGTGTCTAGTCTCTCCTGCAAATAATGCCACAAAATAATTAAAACATGGTTTGAACAAAATATGTCCAGCTTACTACAATATGACTGAAAGCAGAACATAAACCCAGCCGCATACAAATATGTTTTCTTTATTTTTAAACTTCAGTTGCAAATATTACATGCGCTCCTGGTTTCTAACAATATTAAGGAAACCAAATTCTGTGTTGTGGTTTTTTCAGTCTTCCAGTGACCTGAATTGGTTTGGAATCCAGCTGTGGCACAGTTAGTAAAATATTTTGTCTGATTACCCCCTGTATTATAGTTCACGTTTAAGGGAAATCTTGATTATAGAAAGAAACCATGCAAATTTCTCTTCCATGTTATTTCCTCTGTTTAGCAGCTTTATTCAGTGCAAGCACAGCGCGGATTGTTTTGATTGCTTGGGAATGGAACTCTGTTTACAGGTCTCTAACACCATCCAGTGGCAGTAGGTTAATGTTGGTTTACTTCAGTGAAAGAAAGTTCTCTGTTTTTTAACCACAGTCAGGAAGAAGAAGGAAAAACCTTAACTCCTTTTTTTTAAGATTTCCACTGTTAAATACGCTGCAACCTTTTTTTAAAGATTTCTGGCACTTCAAATATCAAAGGAAGCTCAATTTATTAAAATCACAGCTTTTGATCACAGATTCCAAACAATGACCCTTGGCAAAACATTTTTAAAAAGATACTGAGCATTTTTATACCTTTAACATTATTTTTTAACAAATGCAAATGTATACGGCATCTTTTGTTTCCATTTATTTCAGAAATACGTTTTTATTTATTTGTAAAGAGGAGTGCCATTGATATTATTCAACTAATCATTCTTGTTATGATGCTCAATACATCGTGATGTCAATCTTTTTTCTTTCTCTCTCTCTTGTGTCAGACTTTTTTAATTCTGTGCAATGAATTTCATTCACCTTTATGCCTTTGATGAACATTTTTTGCAGAAATCACTGATAACTATTGTGAAAGTATTTCCTTTAATAAGAAAAATAATAATGAAAATAGATTGGATAAAACCTATAGCTATTTTGGGGGAACTTGTCGTCTTGATCTTTTCATCTTTTTTGAACGGCACTATAGAAATCTGAAAGCAACTATATGTATCTTGGATCCTAATTCTAATAGTTTGCTGTAGCAGAGCCCCTTGTAACGCCTATATCAGTGATGACGAACCTTTTTTGACTCATGTGCCATAAGTGGGGGAACACAGGTGGGTCGTGCTTGGGCATGCCACACCCATAACGCAATGTGTGACACACACACACCAGTGTGCATGCGCACACTACAGGCGCTCCCCCCATTTTTGGCATGCTCTTTTCCGATTTTGTTGGAGCGTCGTTTCGAGTACTCTGGAGGCTTCAGGGAAGCTCATGAAGTCTCTGGAGGGCCTCCGGGGGGGGGGGGGGGGCAGGGGAGGCTCTTTTCGCCCTTCCCAGGCTCCTATAAAGCCTCTAAAGCTTGGGGAGGGTGAAAAATGGCTTCAAAAAATGGTGAATTCAGCTGGACAGCATGCCCATATGCACTGGCCAGCTGACAGGGGCAGTGCCTCATGTGCCCTGACAAATGGCTCCGCATGTCACCTGTGGCACACATGCCATAGGTTCGCCATCCCGGGGCTATATAAATATTGTGTCTACCTATGAATATGTTCTTCAAACATTTTTTAAAACTCAGAACACTAATAATGGTTAGCCTTCCTTCCTATCTATCTACCTACCTACCTACCTACCACAGTTGCCAAAGCAACAAATAATTCAGTGGATTGCAACTGATTTTTTTCTTTTTTCCATTGTTTCCCATGGATATTATATTGTCAACTGCCCAGAGTTGCTTTGGGTATTGATGTGGGTG